CCCGGCCCCGTGGCCATGCCCTGCTGGGGAACGTAGTTGCTAGCTGGGCGGCCGCGTGCCGGCCAGAACTGCAGGGCCGGGCCTTGCAGAGGAAGGACAGACTGCCAAAGCGTGTGCGACCCTCAGTGTGCTCTTCATTTCACTCTGTCTGATGCAACGAGCATTGTAGAGTGTCCAGTTTGCACAGTGGCGGGGACACCAAAAAAATAAGACGTGGCCCCGATCCCTATGGCCTGGTTTGTTCAGGAAGGCGGAAATACAGACCAGCTAGAACAGCCGTTTTTAATTCTGGAATCCAGATACAAGCACCGTGCACTGGAGTGGGTCAGAGTGGGCTTGGTTTTTTTTTTTTTTTTTTGACAGAGTCTCACTCTTGTTGTCTGGGCTAGAGTGCCATGGTGTCAGTCTCCTCCAGCAGCTCTAACTCTGGGCTCAAGCGTCCTCCTGCCTCAGCCCCCGAGTAGCTGGGACTACAGGCTGCGCCACTAGCTCACAGCAACCTCCAACTCCTGGGCTCAAGCGATCCTCCTGCCTCAGCCTCCCGAGTGGCTGGGACTACAGGCATGCGCCACCACGCTAGGCTCATTTTTTATATATACATTTTTAGTTGGCCAATTCATTTCTTTCTGTTTTTAGTAGAGGTGGGGTCTCGCTCTTGCTCAGGCTGGTCTCGAACTCCTGACCTCGAGCGATCCTCCAGCCTCGGCCTCTTGGAGCGCTAGGATTACAGGTGTGAGCCACCGCGCCCGGGCCATGGGAGCAGTATTAAGAATAAATGAGTCTTACTGGAGGAGTGAGGGGGGCATGGGCAATATATGTAACCTTAACACTTGAACCCCCATAATATGCTAAAATAAATAAATAAATAAAAGAATAAATGAGGACAAGTGTGTGAGGTCCCACGCGTGTACCTTGCAAGGCATAGACAATCCTATGTCCCATTGCGTGGGAGCAGACCTCATCAAAGAGTCTGGGGTGGGCTCTTATCCCATTTGGGCTCTTTGGGTGGTGGGTCTACCTTCGTCCCTGGTTTCTACTCACCCATCACCCTTGCCTCTCCTTGGAGAAATCTCCCCAGCACTGAGCAAAAGCCTTTGAATGGGCCGGGCGCGGTGGCTCACGCTTGTAATCCTAGCACTCTGGGAGGCTGGATCGTCACGAGGTCAGAGTTCGAGACCAGCCTGAGCAAGAGGTGACCCCGTCTCTACTAAAATAGAGAAATAATTGGCCAACTAAATATACATAGAAAAAATGACCGGCATGGTGGCGCATGCCTGTAGTCCCAGTACTCTGGGAGCTGAGGAGGAGGATCGCTTGAGCCAGGGTTGGAGGCTGCTGTGAGCTAGGCTGACCCAGCACTACCTCTAGCCTTGGTAAAGAGTGGACTCTGTCTCAAAAAAAAAAAAGCCTTTGTTGCCTCAGGCTTAGGTGAGTGCCTTGGCGTCAGCCTAGCTCACAGCAACCTCAACTCCTGGCCTCAAGCAGATCCTCCTGCCTCATCCCGGTAGCTGGACTACAGGCATGCACCACCATGCCGGCTTAATTTTTCTATATATTAGTTGGCCATTAATTTCTTTCTATTTATAGTAGGACAGGTCTCGCTCTTGCTCAGGCTGGTCTCGACTCCTGCCTTGAGCATCCTCCCGCCTCGGCCTCCCAGAGTGCTAGGTGAAGGCTGAGCCCACGCGCCCAGCTTGCATGTTTAAAGTCAGGTTTTGTTTATCTCCTGAATATTCTGAATTCCACAAGGGGGCTGGTGACATCCAAATTAGCAAACTCGTGGGAGGGCTGGCCATACATTCAGTGGACTTGGGGCTTGCTTGTCTACACTGTGGAAACGTGTGGACTCAATCAGTGTTTCTTTTCATGACCAGTTTCGAATGCAAGGTTAAACTTTCTGTTTTTTTTTTAATTTATTTTATTTTATTTTTTTTTAATTTTTTTAGAAGGATCAACTTCCTGCTATTCTTTTTTTTATTATTATTATTATTTCTTTTTTCAATGTGATGGGCTTATTGCATGAACTTCCCAACGTTATCTTGTTTGCTTAGCGAAGGCCTCCCCCGGCCATCCCACCGGAGGAAGGAGACACCGGGGAAGAGGTCGTCGTGGCCATGTATGATTTCCAGCCGACGGAAGGCCACGATCTCAGACTGCAGAGAGGCCAAGATACGTCGTGTTGGAGAAGAATGACATGCATTGTGGCGAGCAAGACAATACGGGTCGTGTCCTGGCGTGCACCACCGCGGGGGGGGGACAGAAGGCTGGGGACAGGAGGGTGAGCTGGCAGCATCTTGTCCTGAGACTAGCTCCACTGCCCATCATTGGAAACACACTTACTCCTTTGTAGGGACGCTGTGTATTCTTAGCAGTCACCAGTAAATGCAAGTTGGTCAATCATTTCTTCCCAAGAGTTGGAATACATCGCCTGGTCTCCTTCTCATCACCCATTGCGTGTTTGCTTGGATTATTTTGGCCATGGGGAAATGACAGTTTTTGTCTTGTCCCCATCCCTATGGTAAATTATAGTCATCTTAGATTTTTCCAAAGAAATAATTTATCATAATTTTTTTTTTTTTTTTTTGGAGACAGAGTCTCACTCTGTTGCCCAGGCTAGAGTGAGTGCCGTGCGTCAGCTCGCTCACAGCAATCCTCAACCTCCTGGGCTCAAGCGATCCTCCTGCCTCAGCCTCCCAGTAGCTGGGACTACAGGCATGCACCACCACGCCTGGCTCATTTTTTCTATAGATTTTTAGTTGTCCAATGAATTTCTTTCTATTTTTTAGTAGAGACGGGGTCTCGCTCTTGCTCAGGCTGGTTTCGAACTCCTGACTCGAGCATCTCCTCCCGGCTTCTAAAGTGCTAGGATTACAGATGTGACCACTGTGCTCTGCCTATGATTTTTCTTCTTAGAATCTCTCTCTCTATGTACATACATATATAAAAAAGAGTATATAAGTTAACATACACACACACACAGAGACTTCACTATACTGTGTTGTGTGTGTATACTTATATACCCTTTTTATTATGTATGTATATATATAGAGAGAGAGATTCTAAGAAGAAATCTAAATTCTGTCTTTTTTTCTTCCTCTCACCATGTATCTATGCGGAGGAGAGAGTTAATATGTTGTGTATGTGTTGTATAAATACATATATGTGTGTGTAGTGTGTATATGTATGTATAAAATGCATACATATACCTGCAGGATATTAAACAGCAAGCATTATTATTATTTTTTTTTGAGACAGAGTCTCACTTTGTTGCCCGGTAGAGTGAGTGCGCGTGGCATCAGCCTAGCTCACAGCAACTCATCTCCTGGGCTCAAGCGTCCTCGCTGCCTCCCGAGTAGCTGGGACTACAGGCATGCACCACCATGCCCGGCTATTTTTGTATATATATTTTTAGTTGGTTCAATTAATTATTTCTATTTTGGTAGAGACAGGGTCGCTCAGGCTGGTTTCGAACTCCTGACCTTGAGCAATCCGCCCGCTCAGCCTCCAAAGTGCTAGGATTACAGGCGTGAGCCACCGCGCCTGGCCTAGCAAGCATTATTTGCACAGATAATTTAGGATTTGAAGGAAACAGTCCTTTCAACCCTATTATCGGTAACGTGTGGGTAGATATGGATAAACACAGGAGATGAGTATCTTGAGGTTCATTAAGAAAACTCTATGTCCTGTGCTTACCTCTGACATGCAACCTGGCCTAATTTTTTTCTATATATATATATTAGTTGGCCAATTAATTCTTTCTATTTATAGTAGAGACGGGGGTCTTGCTGTTGCTCAGGCTGGTCTCGAACTCCTGACCTTGTGTGATCCTCCCGCCTCGGCCTCCCAGATGCTAGGATCAACAGGGTGGCACTTGCTGGCTGGGTTTTATTTTTAATTTTTCATTATAGAAATTTTCAAACATCCAAAAAGTACACAATAGCGTAATGGAACCTCTTGTCATTTGACTTTGAAAATCACCGACATTTTGCCAGTCTTGATTTACCAATCCTTTAATTTTTTTTTTTGTTTGTTTGTTTCTAGGAGTGAAGGATATATCCCAAGTAACTACGTAACAGGAAAGAAATCAAACAACTTAGATCAATATGAGTAAGTCAGTATTTCTCTTGTGAATGTGGAAAATCAGAAAATATTTTTATTTTCCTCATTATGTAAGGCATTTTGAAGATTAATGGATATACTTCATGATGTTTAGAAGGTGAAACCCACAAGTCTTTAATTCAGTTGTCCAGTATGGTAAAAGACTATGAGAATTAGTCTCTATAACACATTTTTTCCTGAAGGTACTGTGTGTGAATGGAATTAAGTAAACTTGTATAACTGAATTGATTTTAAGCAAATCATAGCTTAGCTAACTTTGAAATACAGATCATTGCCCATTCATTCAAGATATAGCAATAATATTTTCCAGAACAGCCTTTAAAGAAACATGTTTTATTGTTTCTTTTTATTATTATTATCATTTTTTATTTTAGCGTATTATGGGGTACAAGTGTTAAGGTTACATATATTGCCCATGCCCCCCTACCCCCTTGTTTCTTTTTTTCTAACTAAAATAACACTATGTGATTGTTTTAAAATCCTTGAAAATATGGAAAAATCTTACTAAGAAAAAATTACTCATAAATCAGACACGTATTTACAAATATATATACAAATGTATCAACATTAGTATATTTTCATTCAATCTTTTTACTGTTTTTAACAAGATGAAATCATGCTGTATATATTGTTTTACATCCTGTTTTTTTCACCTAATAGTATTTTATGAGTTTTGTATATTTCTTCATGCTATTTAATATTCTTTGAAAACATTTTTATAGCTGTATTATATTTCATTCAGTCATAAATTCATCAAATATTTACTGAGATCTTGTATCAGGCACTATGCTAAGGGTACAACCAGGCATATGGCACGTGGATATACAATAATTTATTTTATTTTATTTTATTTTTTTTGGAGACAGAGTCTCACTTAATTGCCCAGGGTAGAGTGAGTGCCGTGGCATCAGCCTAGCTCACAGCAACCTCCAACTCCTGGGCTCAAGTGATCCTCCTGCCTCAGCCTCCCAAGTAGCTGGGACTACAGGCATGTGCCACCATGCCCGGCTCATTTTTCCTATATATATTAGTTGGCCAATTAATTTCTTTCTATTTATAGTAGAGATGGGGTCTTGCTCTTGCTCAGGCTGGTCTCGAACTCCTGACCTCAAGCGATCCTCCTGCCTTGGCCTCCCAGAGTGCCGGGATTACAGATGGGAGCCACTGTGCCCGGCCTCATCCCACTTTAATAAAACAATAAGAATATGGGCACATATATATGTTTTCATATTTATTTATATATATGTATTTATATATTTATATGTATTTCATATTTATAATATGAAATTAATATAAATATAAATAAACAAAATAATTTAAATAATTAATATATATTAATATAAATAATATAAAACATATTTCATATTTATATGGGTAGAAAAATTCTTGAAGTATATACATCAAAATGTTATTAGTTGTCTATTATTGAGATTATGAGTGATGCCTTATTCTTATGTATTATATTATTGGTTGATGAGCAGGAATGCATTATTAATCCTAAAACAAAGTAAAAATTATTAAAAAACCTAAGGCCTTCAATGTGTTTTTTCCGTCCAGATGGTATTGCAGGAATATGAATCGGAGCAAGGCAGAACATCTTCTGAGAAGTGAAGTAAGTGTTTGTGCTTGTTTTGTGGATTTGGTTTCAGCACAAATTAATGTTAAGGAATCCCTAATAAATAGTTCCATATACCTCTGTTTCTCTATCTGTTCCACCGTGAGCAGACCTACCCCCAAATGCCAAGAGGGCTAAGAGGTCAAAGAATGAGGCTGAAAAATCCAGTGTGGTGGAAGGGAACATTTAATAGGGACTTAACCGACAGAAGCAATGTCTCCAAGGGCAGTGAGTGGGTCGCTCTCTGCTCCCGCCTTCCAGAAAATGTCCTTCATACAGCAAGCTTTTAGGGTAGGACGTGTGCTGCTGGCCTTGTCCTCAGACTTTCTTGTCAAGACTTGTGACCACAGGGGAGGTTAGACCAGCATCTTTGTCAGGGCTTTGCTTTGCTACAGGCTTTGCTTAAAGACCTTCCTGCACGGTTCACGCCCGTCATCCCGGCACTCTGGGAGGCCCAGGCGGGAGGATCGCTCGAGGTCGGGAGTTCAAAACCAGCCTGAGCAAGAGCGAGACTTCATCTCTACTAAAAATAGAAAGATGCATTGTAGGAGTTGTTTGTAAAAAGAAAAAAGAAAAAGAAAATAATTTTAAGAAATAAAAAAATTTAATATAAAAATTAAAAAATAAAAATAGAAATTAATTGGCCAACTAAAAATATATATAGAAAAAATTAGCCGGGCATGTTGGCGCATGCCTGTAGTCCCAGCTACTAGGGAGGCTGAGGCGGGCAGATTGCTCAAGGTCAGGAGTTCAAAACCAGCCTGAGCAAGAGTGAGACCCCGTCTCTACTAAAAATAGAAAGAAATTAATTGGACAACTAAAAATATAGGAAAAAAATGAGCCGGGCATGGTGGGGCATGCCTGTAAGTCCCAGCTACTCGGGAGGCTGAGGCAGGAGGATCGCTTGAGCCCAGGAGTTTGAGGTTGCTGTGAGCGAGGCTGACGCCACGGCACTCACTCTAGCCTGGGCAACAGAGTGAGACTCTGTCTCAATAAAAAAAAGAATTTTCCTTTGCCAGCTTTCACATAGTTTTTATTTCCGTCTTTGTGAGCTGTGGTCAGCTTACCAGGCACACCCTGCTGCAACTGATTTTTCACCCTGGCAGTTGACATGCTTTATCAGGTCCGGAGAAAACCGAGCAGAGGTCGCTTGCCTCATTCCTAATTTTCTGAGAAGCCCTTGGGGCCTCTTCGATTGCCTGAGAACCTCCTGGTAAATCTTCATTAGATCAAGCCTCTATCACTGCTGGAATGTTCCAGTCCCCAGGCTATGACCCCTGTCTGTTTGCCTTGCATTATTCCAAAGGCTGTGCCCCAGAGCTGGGTGGGAGGTGATGTTACTCATTTCTTCTGCTTCATTCCCAGCTAAGAAAATATTGTCACCCTCTGTGTCCCACAGTTGGACCATCGGGGCCGTGAGGGATTCCCTAGGTAGTTGTTTTATTTTTGTATATGTTTATTTTATTTTATTGTTTTTTTTAAGGCTAGTCAAGCGAAGCAGTGGAGAGAGGAACAAAGGAATCTGGAACTGGTTGTGATAGATTAGTTGTAAACACCACTGCACTCGGACCGGCCGGTTGATGTTTAAATCTTGCCTGTTTAAGTGTTGCAATCTCCAAGAGTTTGGTAGCACTGTTTTCTCTGACAGTGAGTCTCCTTTATCTATTGAGCCTAGCTCACAGCAACCTCAAACTCCTGGGCTCAAGCGATCCTCCTGCCTCAGCCTCCCAAGTAGCTGGGACTACAGGCATGCACCACTGTGCCCGGCTAATTTTTTCTATATATATTTTTAGTCTGCCAATTAATTTCTTTCTATTTATAGTAGAGACGATGGGGTCTTGCTCTTGCTCAGGCTGGTTTCGAACTCCTGACCTTGAGCTATCCTTCCGCCTCGGCCTCCCAGAGTGCTAGGATCACAGGCATGAGCCACTCACCTTGCCTGGCCATATACTTTTTTTTTTTTTTTTGAAGGTTTTATGCTCCTAGATGGCCATATACTTTTACTAATTATAATAATTATTATCTCTAATTGTTCTTATCAGATGTACTTGTGGTGGCCTTATTTAATTCCATGATTTTTCCTATAAAAAAGAATAAAATTTATTTTCCAACTATTAAACACACTTTTCATCTCCTTTTTTTGTTTTGTTTTAAAGGGAAACTTGGGACATTGACTTGGAACACACTTTTCATCTTAAAGCAATTTAAACACTGGAGATTGATTTTGCTGTTGGGTAGAGAGGGGTTTGAGGATTAGAGCATCTATTTGTTGCTCTTCAGTTTGGACCCTGGGAAGGATTTGACCTTGAGTCTCTCTGCACTGTTTCCAACTTTTGATTTTCTCTGGTCCAGTTGCTTGTGTCACCACCCCTCCCTTTGTTAAGAGCGATATTTAACATTGGCTTCCAGGGGAATTAAGAATTTTTTTAATTAGTTCTTATGAAGAGCACTGAGATATTTATAGGAGAAACGCTGGGTGCATTGAAAATGATATTGAGTCAGAAATCAAAGCTGATGGCAAATATGGAAAAATGTATGAACTGAAACCCAATCATGGAGAAATATATTCTTTAGTAACTGTTTTCCTACATGTCTAGGACTTGAAGGAATTGTAAAATCTTGTGTATTCCTTCTGGGAGGACCGTGAGATTTTTCGGGTTGAAATGTCTCGTGTTAGTGTGTGAGGGTTTGTGATTGAGGGGAACTGAGTGTGTTTTCTCTAACTAATCTCATAGCCCAGTCATTTGAAGTAGAAAGTTCTGGATGTACTCTCAAAATTACATTCAATATGAAGGAAAAGGAATAAATAATTTTTAAAAAATTAAAAAAAAAAAAAGAAAAGAAAGTTCTGGATGGGAGAAACCAGGGAGCCCTATTGTAAGTTGCTCCTCTCCAAAGCAGATCTTCTGGGAAAGGATTGAAAAACTGGGTTCTCGAATCTTCTCCATGGCGTTGCTTTCGTAATTGGAGTAAAACGACTTTTCTTAACTTTGGATTTTAGGATAAAGAAGGTGGTTTTATGGTAAGGGACTCCAGCCAGCCGGGCTTGTACACAGTCTCCCTGTACACAAAGTTTGGAGGGTGAGTAATCCTGGTCTGTTGCTTTTTCAAAAAAAAAAAAATTAGAGTTTTTGTATGAACTTCCTGTGTGTTTGTATGGATTCCTAAGTTTCAAAACTATATGCTGCATTTCAGCATTAAGAGAGAACACCTGAACTTGATTTCTAAAGTCTACACTATTTTTTCTGTCTATATTTTCAGTGATTTTCTCTGTAGTTTCCCCATGTATGTACATACATATTTGTTGAGAAGGCGATGGCAACTTATAACGTTCAACAGATGCCCACGGGCGCTCCCTGCGCCCAGCGCCGAGCTGGCCAGTGGAGCAGCGCAGGCCCCCTCGGCCCTGCTGGCTGGGGCTGCGCACGCGCACAGGCGGCGATGGGAGTGTGCGTGTGTGTGTTTATGTGTATGTGTGTGTATCTGTGTGCGTGTGTGTGCGTTTGTGTGTATGTGTGTGCGTGTGTGTTTGTGTGTGTTTGTATGTGTATGTGTGTGTTTCTGTGTATGTTTGTGTTTGTGTGTATGTGTGTTTGTATGTGTATGTGTGTGCATGTGTGTATGTGTTTGTGTGTATGTGTGTGTATGTGTGTATGTGTGTGCATGTGTTTGTGTGTGTATGTGTGTATGTGTGTGTTTGTGTGTTTGTGTGTGTGTATGTGTGTGTGTATATGTGTGTATGTGTGTATGTGTGTGTATGTGTGTATGTGTGTGTTTGTGTG